CCCCCCCCCCCAGTGCCCCCAGTGCTCCCAGTCCCACCAGCCAGCCGCCGCCGTCCGTCTCCATGTCACAGAAGACCCTGAGGGGCCGGGCCGGGTCCCCCCGGAGGAAGATGAGGGTCTCCCGCGAGGGGCCCGGCCCGTTCTGCTGCTCCTCGGCGCAGTCCCGGGGGTGCGGGTGTGGGAGGGGAGCTGGGGGGGAATGGAGGTCCCCTCAGACACCCCAGGGGCTTCTGGGGACTCAGGGTGCTGGTTCCCCACTCCCCAAAAGGTCACAGAATCTCTGACTCAACAAGTGTCCCACCCCTATCCAGGGACCCAGGGGGTCGGGTGTTCCCCACCCAATAACCGCCCCCCACCAGGACCCAGCCGGCACCCCCGGTATTCATCCCCTACAAAGGACCCAGGGGTACAGGTGTCCCCACAATGTTTTTTCCCCTCTCCAGTGACCCAGCTGTTCGTGTCCTAGCCCCCCCAAACGACACCCCTTTCCCCAGGATCCAGCCCCACAAAATGGACCCAGGCAACCAGGTGCCTCTCTCAAGGACCCACCCTTGCCCATAAACCCAACCCCCTCCCCCAAAGGACTCGGGCACCCTCCCAGGTAACCCCCCAAAAAGGACACAGATACCTGGGACCCCCCTCACTCCAAGACACCGACACCCAGAAGACCCAAGTGTCTGGTTGTGTACACTCCCACCCTCCCAAATAACTCCCTTCCAAAAGGACTCAGGTGTTTGGGTGCCCCCCCACCATAACCCAACCTCTCTCTCGGGTGTCCCCCTCCCATGGACCCACCCACCCCCCACAAAAGCACTCGGGAGTTCAGATGCCCCCACAAAGTTCCAGCCCTCCCTCCAAGGGACATAGCTTCCCCCACCAATAACCCCACCCCCCACAAAAGGACCTGGGGGTCCAGGTGCACACCCTAATGACCCCTCCACACCCCTTAGCTCTCCCCACTCACGAGTGTCAAAGGTGGCTTCGAGGGGGGCTGTTTGGGGGTCTCCCCCTCGGCCCCACAAGCGCACCCCATAGTGTCCTGCCGGCTCTAGTCCCCACAGCTGCTGCGACGTAGCCTCGGGAGGCAGCCATAGGGTCTGGGGGCACAAGGGGTACTGGGTTATCCCAGGGGGATAGTGGAGTCCCCAGGGAGGTATTGGCATGCCCAAAGGCATTATTAGGGTCTCCTGGAGGTGTATTGGGGTGCCATTACCAGAGGAGGGTAATGGGATGCTCTGAGGTGTTACTGGGGTCCCCAGGGGTGTTACTAGGATACCTGAAGGTATCCAGCAGGTTATTGGTGTCCCCCAAGGAGATACTGGGGGGACACCCTGGGTGTTCCAGGGTTTTTAGCATCCTTTGGGGGGCTGTTACCTGCTGGGGTCCGGCGGGGGGGCCATACTCCAGCTCATAGCCATCAGGGGGGACTTGCAGGGGGTTCCAGTGCAGCCATGCACTGCGGGGCCACACAGAGCCTACCCAGAGGGTCCCTGGGGTGCCTGGGGAAGAACACAATGCTGTCACCTTAGACAGCCCAGCTGACACCCTGAAATCTCACACTGTTACCCCAAAAAGCACTGCTTCCACCCCAACCCCCCCCCCCCCCCCCCCCCCCCCCCCCCCCCCCCCCCCCCCCCCCCCCCCCATCTGCTGGTACCCCAAACAGCCCTGCCCACACACTGTGCCCAATGGAGATGCTCCAGTTCCCCCTCATTTTTCCCAGACTCCTGAGATCAGTCCTCCTCCAGTCACCCTCAGGCCCCAGTTTCCCCCCAGTGCCTGCCAGACCTGTTCCTTCAGTACCTCCCAGTCCCCCTATGTCCCCTGAGTTCTTCCCAGTGCCCAGTTTCCCCCAGTACTTGCCAGGCCCCAATCCCCTCCTGGACCCAGTTTCCTCTCATTCTCCAGTCACCCCCATTCCCAGTTCCCCTCAGTCTCCCTCAGACCTGTTTCCCCCAGTCCCTTCAGTCCCCAGTTCCCTCCAGTTCCTCCCAGACCCAGTTCCCCCAGTGCCTCATAATCCTCTCTCACTTGTGCCTAGGCCTCTGAGTCCCCAGTTGCCCCCAGTTCACCCCAGTCTCCCGTTTTCCCCAGTTCCTCACACCTCACGGTTGTCCCAAGTTGTTTGAGTTCCTCCAGATGCCCCAGTCCTCAGTTCTCCTGCCAGTTGCTCCCAGTGCTACATTGCCCCTAATCTCCAGTTCCCTGCAGTCCTCTGGCTACCCCCAGCTCCCAGTTTCCCCCAGTTCTCCCAAGTATCCTCAGCCCCATTTGCTCCCAAAATCCCCCTTTAGTCAGCCCCATTTGCTCCCAAAATCCCCCTCTAGTCAGCCCCAGCTGCTCCCAAAATACCCCTCTAGTCCCAGTTCCCCATTGTTCTCCCTGGTCCCTACTGAGCTATCAGTGGGACCCAGTCACCCCAATAACTAATCCCCCATATTCCTCCAGTTCCCCAAGTCCCCAGTCCCTCCCAGTTCACAGATCCCCACAGCTACCCAGTACCCCCCAAATTCTCCCCTGTGCCATTTCCCCCAGTCCTAGCCAGTTCTCAGCTCCATCCCAGCCCCAGTTCACCCCGGTTCCCCCCATTGCCCAGTTCCACACAGTTTCACCCAGGCCCCCAAAGGCCCCAGGCCCCATTTCTAGCCAGTCCCCCTAGCTGTCCCCAGTTTCTCAGTCCCCAGCTGATCAGAGTCCCTCCAGATGTTGCACTCCCCCTAATCTCCAGTCCCCTCCAATCCCTGGTTGCCTCTAGTTCCCACTTTCCCTGAATTCCCCAGTCCTCAGTGCCCCCCGAGCTCCCTCGTCCCCTTAATTTCTCTGGCTCCCCCAGTACAGCCCCATTCCCCAATTCCTTCCGCTCCCCCCAGGCCCCACTCCCTGCCCTGTCCCTACTCCAGCTCCATTCCCTGAGGGGCTCTGGGGGAGTCCCTGCAGCCCCTTACCAGTGATGGCCTCAGTGGAGACATGGTCAATCCTTTTCCCACCCTGCAGTCCATAGAGGTGGAAGCGGTACCGCTGGGAAGGGGACAGGCCCGGCACTGTCACTGATCGGGACCCGCCATCGATGGGCAGGGCCTGGGGCTGGCCCTGGGCATCCCGGTATTGCAGCGTGAAGGACTCAAAAGAGCCCTCAGGGACACTCCACTGCAGCTGCACAGAGTTGGGTCTGACACTGGAGACCTTCAGCTCCCCCAGCTCTGCCCGTGCCAGGGGGGCTGCAGATGGGGTGGTCTCAACTTGGGGATCTTTTCCTTTGGGATCCTCAGGTTGGGGGTCCTCTGAGGGCAGGGGCAGCTCCTCTGTCTTGGCTGTGGCTGCAGTGGAGACAGGAAGATGATGTGTGTGAGAATCCATGTGTCTACCAAATGTCCATCCATCCATCTGTTCATCCAGTTATGTTTCTTCCATGCATCTTTGACATCAACTGGTTCTTTAACCTCTTCCTCCATTGGATTATCCAGTCACCCAACTACTAACCTGATATATCAAACCACCAATAAATTGCCACAACACTCATCATGCATCATCCACTTTTATCTGTCCATTATCCATCATCAATCTAACATCCATCCATCATCCATCTTTGTAACTTCAGTCAGTCCTTGAATCCATTCCTCCATCTATCCCTTCCCCCCTCCACTTACCCCCTCCTTCACCCAGGGCACAAACCAGCCATGGGCTCAGCCAGTCATCCATCCATCCATCCATCCATCCATCCATCCATCCATCCATCCACTGATCAACCAACCAACCAATTCAGGAGCCCTTCATCTATCAATTGATCCATTCTCCATCTACTCACTCCTGTACCTCTCTGTACCCTTCATTCACCAACATATTCCTCCATCACCTGATCTCTCCATCTCTCTCTCCATCCATCATCCTTCATCCCTTCATTCCCCCACCCTCACCCCTCAGACTTCCCCCACACCTGTGACGATGTCGGTAGAGGCACGGTCAATCCTTTTCCCTCCCCGCAGCCCATAGAGGTGGAAGCGGTACCGGCGGGATGGGGACAGCCCCGGCACCATCACTGAGCGGGAGTCTCCATCGATGGGCAGGGCCTGGGGCTGGCCCTGGGCATCCCGGTACTGCAACGTGAAGGAGTCAAAGGAGCCCTTGGGGACACTCCACTGCAGCTGCACGGAGCTGGGTGTAACACTGGAGGCTCTCAGCTCTCCCAACACTGCCTTTGCCAAGTGGTTGTCAGTTGAGGGGGACTCAACTGGGGGATCTTTAGATTGGGGATCCTCAGGTTGGAGCTTTTCTGAAGGCACAGGTTGCTCATCGAAGTTGTCTGCAGCTGTAATGAAGAGGGGATGGTGATGGATATCCACATGTCCATCCAAATGTGCATTCATCATCCACAAAATGAACCATCATTCATCATCCATCCATCCATCTACTCATCAATCTGTGTCTCCATCCATCTCACCCAGCATTTAACCCAATGCCCTAACCAATCCCTCAAACATCTTTCTGACTCTTTCTATCCACTCAAGCTTTCACCTCTTCCACCCCCCATTTCCCATGGACAATCCTCCATCCTTCAGGACATCCAACCACCCACCAAGAATGCACCATCCACCTCTACTTCCCAATTCCATCCAACCACTCATCCACCTCTTCACCTTCTTCCATCACCCTGGGAAGAAATCCATGCACAATCCAGTCCAGAATCCATTCAACCATTCAGTTCTTCAACCATCACGGATGGATCATAATGGTAAGATGATGATAAAAATGATGATGATGGATGATAGATAAAGAGGATGATGACAATGATGGTGGATGATGGCAGGTGGTGGTCAATATGTTGGTAGAAGGGTTGATGATTGATTGGCTTGTTCTGGGGTCTGTGGGGAATAGATGGCAGGTAGAGATGAGATGGCCATGGTCTCTCAATCCATTCATACTGTGTTCCATCTGGTTCTCTGACCATCCCCCTCACCTGTAACAGCTTCAGTGGAGGTATGGTAGACCCTCTTCCTGCCCCGCAGCCCATAGAGGTGGAAGCGGTACCGGCTGGACGGAGACAGCCCCGGCACTGTCACTGAGCGGGAGTCTCCATCAATGGGCAGGGCCTGGGGCTGGCCCTGGGCATCCCGGTACTGCAGCAGGAAGGAGTCAAAGGGCGCCTCAGGGACACTCCACTGCAGCTGCACAGAGTCAGGGCTGACACTGGAGACTCTCAGCTCCTTCAGCACTGCTCGCATTGGGGTTGTTGCAGATGAGGGGGCCTTAGTTTCGTGTTGCTCATCTTGGGGCTCCTCTGAGGGCAGGGGCAGCTCCTCCGACACAGCTGCAGCTGCAATGGAGATAGGATGATGATAAACATGGGCATCCAAACATCCATCCATCCATCCATCCATCCATCCATCCATCCATCCATCCACCCACTCTCAATCCTCTGACCTTCCCCATCAGCTGTGATGACATCAGTAGAGACATGGTTAGTCTTCCTCCCACCCTGCAGCCCATAGAGGTGGAAGCGGTACTGGTGAGATGGGGACAGCCCTGGCACCATCACCAAGCGCAACCTGCCATCGATGGGCAGGGCCTGGGGCTGGCCCTGGGCATCCCGGTACTGCAGCATGAAGGAGTCAAAGGAGCCCTTGGGGACGCTCCACTGCAGCTGCACAGAGTTGGATGTGACACTGGAGACCTTCAGTTCTTCCAACACTGCCCATGCCGAGGGGGCCGCAGATGGAGGGGCCTCAGTTTGGGGATGTACAGTTTCATGATCCTCAGTTGTGGAGGCCTCATTTGTGGGGTCCATTGAGGGTGGGGACAGATCCTCTGGGTCAGCTACAGCAACAACAGAGAGGGGACAATGATGGGTGTAGGCATTGGTATGTCGATCCATATGTTCATCCATCATCCACCCAACTATCCATTATCCATCATGCACCATTTCCTCCCAGTCCCTCTCACTATTCCCTCCTCTCACCCATCACTGAGCACCCATTGACCCCAGCCCCATTCAATGAATCACTGAGTTCCATGAACTCACAGAGTAGCATCTGCCATCATCCACCATCTTCATCATTGCCATAATCAACATCATCCATCATCTTGATTCGTCCAGTATTCACCATCCATCCATCCATCCATCCATCCATCCATCCATCCATCCATCCATCCATCACACCACCTTCTCATGGTCCAGCCATCTCTCCATCTCCAAGCTGTCTCTAGTTTCCCTGCCCAATTCCACCCATTGCTCCTTCCCCTCCACATCACCATCCACCATCAAGCAGTCACAAGTCCCAGAAAACATCCGCTTAATGATTGATACTAAATCCCGCCTGCCTCCAGACAAACAATCCTCGTCATCTGTCACCCATGTACCCAGCCCTCCATTTACCCTTTCACTATCCATTTCTGCAGGCATCCAATGATATTCATGTCTATCCTTCTACTCATGAATCAATCCAACCCTCCAAGGATCCATCCATAATTCACCTTTTTCTCCATCTTTCCATTAATCTCTCAATCCCTACTTCTATCTCCCCATTCCTTCCATCCTCTGACCTTCCTCCTCACCTGTGACAACATCGGTGGAGACACGGTCAATCCTTCTTTTGTCCCGCAGCCCATAGAGGTGGAAGCGGTACCGGCGGGATGGGGACAGCCCCGGCACTGTCACTGATCGGGACCCTCCATCAACAGCCAGGGCCTGGGGCTGGCCCTGGGCATCCCGGTACTGCAGCGTGAAGGAGTCGAAGGAGCCCTCGGGGACGCTCCACTGCAGCTGCACAGAGTTGGGTGTGACACTGGAGACCCTCAACTTCCCCAGCACCACCTGTCCCTGGTTAGCCTCAGTTTGGGGCTGCTCAGTTTGGGGCTGCTCAGGGTTGTGGTCTTCAGGCTGGGGCTCCTGTGAAGGTAGGGGCAGCTGCTCTGGCACTGCTGCATCTGTGATGGAGAGGGAATGATGACAGCCGTGAGAATCAACAAGTTCACTGAACCATCTATCACTCCATCATCCATCCACATTTTATTCTCCTGGACCATTCATTCCAGTATCCGTCATCCACCATCCCTCAATTCAACCACATGGGTTTCAATGTGGCTTTTCCTACGACTGATTATGTAGCTTCTTCTTCCATTGGATCATTCAATAATCAAACTGTTGATTGGATCTGTGAAACCCTAACCCCAACACCCATCATCATCGTTATCCATCCATCCATCCATCCATCCATCCATCCATCCATCCATCCGTCCGTCCGTCCATCCGTCCATCCATCCATCCATCCATCCATCCATCCATCCATCCTCCACTGTCCACTGTCCATCAATTGCCATGCCATTGTCCGTGCGCCATCCATTGTTCATCCATCTTCCATCACCCATCATCATCATCATCATCCATCCATCATGACAAGCATCAACATAATGATTTACCTATTCATCCACCCCTCTACCTTGCTAACATTCCTACACATCCTGCGCTACCAAACTGGGAAACTGGGGAGAAGTGGAGCCGCCTAGGAATGGAGGGATCAGTGACTGGGGATGGACACATAGTGGATCTATCCAATTAAATAATGATGATGATGAGTATTGGCTAATAGGCCAGAGGAAGGGTCAATGGTTGATTGGATGATGCTGGTGTCAGTGGGTACCGAATGGCATGTAGGGATGGCATTGGGATAGGATCCTTTGATCTCTCCATCTCTCCATCCATACAGCCACCTCTCCAACCCTTTCACTTTCTCATCTTCCCCCTCACCTGTGACAATGTCGGTGGAGACACGGTTGGTCCTTTTCCTGCCCTGCAGCCCATAGAGGTGGAAGCGGTACCACTGGGAAGGGGACAGGCCCGGCACTGTCACCGATCGGGACCCACCATCAATAGGCAGGGCCTGGGGCTGGCCCTGGGCATCCCGGTACTGCAGCATGAAGGAGTCAAAGGAGCCCTCAGGAACACTCCACTGCAGCTGCACAGAGCTGGGGGTGATGCTGGAGACTTTCAGGTCTCCCAGCACTGCCCGCACTGGGGGGACCTCAGTTTGGGGGTGCTCAGGCTGGTTGTCCTCAGTTAGCAGAGCTTCAGTCTGGGGCTCCTGTGATGTGGAGGGTGGCTCCTCTTGCTTGTCTGTGGCTGCTGTGCAGAGGAGACAGTGGTGGGTGTGGCTGTCCGTGTGTTCATATACATGTCCATCCATCATCTACTCAACTGTCCTCCCACCCATTGTCCATCACAGCCGTCCATCCATCATCTGTCCATCCCACCACTCGTCCAACACCCAACCCAACTCCCCACCCAACACCACATTCATGTCTCTGTTTCTTTCCCTCCACATTCCCCCATTGCCTTCACCCCTCCCAGCCTCCATTTCCCATGGACAATCTTCTGTCCATCAAAACACATATCTGGACATGAACCCTCCATCCACCCATCCATCCATCCATCCATCCATCCATCCATCCATCCATCCATCCTTCCATCCATCCATCCATCCTTCCATCCTTCCATCCTTCCATCCTTCCATCCATCCCACCTTTCCAACCACCCATCAACCCATCCACTTACTCCCTTCAGTTTGGATAGGAACCCACCCAACATCCAGACCAGAATCTCTAAAACGATTCAGTTTTTCATTCTTCATGGATAGAAAATCATGATGACGATGAGATGATGAGGATGAAGATGATGATGATGATGATGACGATGATGGATAGTGATAATGGATATTACTGATGGTCATGCATTGTTGATAACTGATGATGATGATGATGAATCATGATGATGGATGACGATAATAATGATGGATGATGGCAGGTGTTGTTCAAAAGGGTTGATGGTTGACTGGATAATGCCAGACTAAAAAAGTGCTTGATGTGGGATTGGTATGGGAATGGAAACCCTTGATTCACCCATCCCTTGATGTCACTACCTCTCGAGCCTTCCATCTATCTTTCATCCCATCTTTCCTCTGACTTTCCTGCTCACCTGTGATGACGTCGATGGAAACATGGTCAATCCTTTTCCCTTTCTGCATCCCATAGAGGTGGAAGCGGTACCGGTGGGATGGGGACAGTCCTGGCACAGTCACCAAGTGTGACCCGCCATCGATGGGCAGGATCTGGGGCTGGCCCTGGGCATCCCGGTACTGCAGCATGAAGGAGTCAAAGCGGCCCTCTGGGACACTCCACTGCAGCCCCACAGAGTCAGGTGTGATACTGGAGACCTTCAGCTCTCCCAGCACTGTGTGTTCCAAGGGGGCCTCAGTTGTGGGGGCCTCGGTTGTGGAGGCCTCATTTATGGGGTCCATTGAGGGTGGGGACAGATCCTCTGGGTCAGCTACAGCAACAACAGAGAGGGGACAATGATGGGTGTAGGCATTGGTATGTCGATCCATATGTTCATCCATCATCCACCCAACTATCCATTATCCATCATGCACCATTTCCTCCCAGTCCCTCTCACTATTCCCTCCTCTCACCCATCACTGAGCACCCATTGACCCCAGCCCCATTCAATGAATCACTGAGTTCCATGAACTCACAGAGTAGCATCTGCCATCATCCACCATTTTCATCATTGTCATAATCAACATAATCCATCATCTTGATTCATCCAGTATTCACCATCAATCCATCCATCCATCCATCCATCCATCCATCCATCCATCCATCCATCCATCCCTCCATCACACCACCCTCCCATGGTCCCAGCCATCTCTCCATCTCCAAGCTGTCTCTAGTTTCCCTGCCCAATTCCACCCATTGCTCCTTCTCCTCCACATCACCATCCACCATCAAGCAGTCACAAGTCCCAGAAAACATCCGCTTAATGATTGATACTTCCTGCCTGCCTATTGATCAACAACCCCCATCATCCTTGTATCCATCCATGCATCCATGCATCCATCTCTCTAAACCCAGTGTTCATAATGGAATCTCACAGTCCATCCATCCAGACTTCTTCAGCCACATGCCTATTCATCAATGGTTGTTCAGTCACCATTCATCCATCCACCCAACCCTCTATTCATCCCATCATCATCCAGTTCTTCTTCAAGCATCCAATGATCCTCAAGTTCATCTGTCCATCCTTATCATGATTCCACCCAATACTACACAAATGTATACATCATCCATTCTCTCCATCCATCTTCATGTCAGTCTCTCCACCTTTACAAACATCTCTCCAACTCTCCTCCTCTCTAAGATTCCCTGTCACCTCTTATGACATTGGTGGAAGCATGGTCAATCCTTCTGCCTCCATGAAGCTCGTACACGTGGAAACAGTACAGATGAGATGGGGACAGCCCCAGCACTGTAACTGAGTGGGACTTACTATTGACCAGCATGGGCTGGGGCTGTCCTTGGGCATCCTAGTATTATAGCATAAAGGAGTCAAAGATGTCCTCAGGGACAATCCATGACAGCTCCACAGAGCTGGGGGTGAAAATGGAGACACTTAGCACTCCTAAAAGCACCCGCACAAGAGGTGCCTCAGGTAAGGAAGCCACAGCTGGGGGCTCTTCAGGTCAGGGCGTCTCTGAGGATAGGGGCAGATACCCTGGCTCTCCTGCAGCTGCGATGCAGAGGGGATGATGATGGGCATAGGAATGTCTCTGTCCCTCCAAGCATCCAACACACCACCAAACCCATCCATCCATCCATCCATCCATCCATCCATCCATCCATCCATCCATCCCTCTATTGCTCCACTCTGCCACCAATGCATGCCATCCTCACATCAACCATTCCTCCATCCCTCCATTCCCCCATCCCACAATATATGTAGAATTCTTCATCCATACATCCACCCAGACGTCCTCCTCCTGACCTTCCCCATTACCTGTGATGACTTCGGTGGAAATATGGTTGATCTTCTTCCTGCCCCGCAGCCCATAGAGGTGGAAGCGGTACCGTTGAGAAGGGGACAACCCTGGTACTGTCACTGAGTGAGACCCGGCATCGATGGGCAGGGCCTGGGGCTGGCCCTGGGCATCCCGGTACTGCAGCAAGAAGGAGTCAAAGGAGCCCTCAGGGACACTCCACTGCAGCTGTACAGAGTTGGGTGTGACACTGGAGACACTCAGCTCGCCCAGCACCGCTCGTGCTGGGAGTGCCTCAGATTCAAGGGACTCAGTTTTGGGCTTCTCCTGTTGGGGCTCCTCTGAGGGCAAGGGTTCTTCGCTGGCTGCAATGGAAAGGCGATGGTAAAGGGCATGAAAAAACCTTGTGTCACTCCAAATGTCCATCCCACTACCAAGTAACCAATTCACCCATCCATCCATGTGTCCATCCATTGGAACATCCATCCATGCATCCATGCATCCATTCATCCATCCATCCATCCATCCATCCATCCATGCATCCATCCATCCATCCATCCCTCTATTGCTCCACTCTGCCACCACTCCATTCCATCCCCAAATCATCCACTCCTCCAGCCCTCCATCCCTCAATCCCTCCATATATCCATTATTCTTCGTCCATACATCCAACCATCCTTTCTTCCCTGCTTACCTGTCATGGTCTCAGTGGAGACATGGTCGATCTTCTTCTTGCCCCGCAGCCCATAGAGGTGGAAGCGGTACTGCTGGGAAGGGGACAGCCCCGGCACCGTCACGGAGCGGGACCCGCCATCGATGGGCAGGGCCTGGGGCTGTCCCTGGACATCCCGGTACTGCAGTGTGAAGGAATCAAAGGAGCCCTCAGGGACACTCCACTGCAGCTGCACAGAGTTGGGTGTGACACTGGAGACACTCAGCTCCCCCAGCAGCGCTCGTGCTGGGAGTGCCTCAGATTCGGGGGACTCAGTTTTGGGCTTCTCCTGTTGGGGCTCCTCTGAGGGCAAGGGTTCTTCGCTGGCTGCAATGGAAAGGAGATGGTAAAGGGCATGAAAAAACCTTGTGTCACTCCAAATGTCCATCCCACCACCAAATAGCCAATCCAGCCATTCATCCATGTGTCCATCCATTGGACCATCCATCCATCTGTCCTTCTGTCCGTCCGTCCGTCCTTCTGTCCGTCCGTCCGTCCATTCTTCCCATCACACAACCAACACACAACACAACCCCCTAGACAGTTCCACATCAATCTCTCTGTCTCTTTCTTAGCACATCTATCCAAGCCTTTATGTCTCCTGCTCCCATTTCCCATGGTCAATCTTCCATTCATCCATCATTCTATCCATCCTTGATGGATAGAGACAGAGGGAATCAAGGAAGGATAGATGGATTCATGATACTTGATGGATTATAGTGAAGGTGATACATGGTAGATGATGATAGATAATGGAAGGTGCTAGTCAATCGGATAGTGGAAGGGTTGATGTTTGATCAGATGATGCGGAGTCTATGCTGCTGACTGGTGGATATGTGATGGGCATGGGTCCTATGAGGAGTCTATTTAGTGATCTTTTCATCCCTTTGACCTTCAGCCTCACCTGTGACAGTGTCAGTAGAGACACGGTCAATCCTTTTGCCTCCACGCAGCCCATAGAGGTGGAAGCGGTACCGATGGGATGGGGACAAGCCTGGCACTGTCACCAAGCGAGACCTGCCATCAATGGGCAGGGCTTGAGGCTGGCCCTGGGCATCCCGGTACTGCAGCAAAAAGGAGTCGAAGGAGCCCCTGGGGACGGTCCAGTGCAGCTCTACGGAGCTAGGGGTGATGCTCGAGACCCTCAGCTCTTCCAGTACTGCCTTTGCTGTAGTAGCCTCAGATGTGGGGGCCTCAGTTTGGGGTTTCTCATGCTGTGGTTCCTCTGTGAGCATGGGCAGTTCGTCCGGCTCTTGTACAGCTCCTATGGAGAGGGGATGGTGATGGCTATTGAAATGCCTGTGTCTCTCAAATGTCCATTCCCCCATTCACTAACTTATCCATCCATCCATCCATCCATCCATCCATCCATCCATCCATCCATCCATCCTTTCGACTCATAGACAATTCATTTTGGGAACCAACATTGACCCATTCATCCATTCATCCATTAATTTATAGATAAAGTCATCCTCCCATCCATGTAACCATCTTTAAATCTCCTATCCATCCATCCATCCATCCATCCATCCATCCATCCATCCATCCATCCATGCATTGATCCCTGTATTCGTCCATTCCTCCACCACTCCATCCCATCCTCAAATCGCCCATTCCTCCATCTCTCCATCCCTCCATCTCTCTATATATCCATTATTCTTCATCCATACATCCAACCACCTTTCTTCCCGGCTTACCTGTGATGGCCTCAGTGGAGACATGGTCGATCTTCTTCCTGCCCTGCAGCCCATAGAGGTGGAAGCGGTACCGCTGGGAAGGGGACAGCCCTGGCACCGTCACTGAGCGGGACCCGCCATTGATGGGCAGGGCCTGGGGCTGTCCCTGGACATCCCGGTACTGCAGCGTGAAGGAGTCAAAAGAACCCTCAGGGACAGTCCACTGCAGGTGCACAGAGCTGGGTCTGACACTGGAGACTCTCAGCTCCCCCAGCACTGCTCTTGCTGGGAGTGCTTCAGATTCAGGGGACTCAGTTTTGGGCTTCTCCTGTTGGGGCTCCTCTGAGGGCAAGGATTCTTCGCTGGCTGCATTGGAGAGGGGATGATAAAAGGGTAAGGACATCCCTGTGTCTCTTCAAATATTCAAACTAGGACAACCCACTACCCAGCAGCCAGTCCACGCATCCATGTGTCCTCCATCCGTCTGTCCGTCCGTCCGTCCATCCATCCATCTATCCATCCACCTGTCCATTCTTCCCATCACACACCCAAAACACAACACAACCCCCTAGACAGTCCCACATCAATCTCTCTCTTTCTTAGCATATCTATCCACACCTTCATCCCGCCCACTCCCATTTCCCATGGGCAATCAGCCATTCATCGGTCACTGAATTGATCATAGATGGATAGAGGTTGAGGGAAGTATGGAAGGATAGATGCTTGCATGATAATTGATGGATGATGGTGATGGCGATACATAGTGGATGAAGATGAGAGATTACAATGGATAATTAATGGTTGCTGCTACTGATAGTGGATGATGGATGATGGAAGGTGCTGGTCAACAGGTTGGTAGAAGGTTTGATGCTTGATGAGATAGTGCTGAGTCAATGGCTGCAGACTGCTGGGTATGTGATGGGCATGGAATGCCTTGATACCTCCATTTTGTTATCGGTCCATCCCTTTGACCTTCAGCTTACCTGTGACAGTGTCAGTAGAGACATGGTCAGTCCTTTTGCCTCCATGAAGCCCATAGAGGTGGAAGCGGTACCGATGGGATGGGGACAAGCCTGGCACTGTCACCAAGCGAGACCTGCCATCAATGGGCAGGGCCTGGGACTGGCCCTGGGCATCCCGGTACTGCAGCAAAAAGGAGTCGAAGGAGCCCCTGGGGACAGTCCACTGCAGGCCCACTGAGGTGGGGGTGATGCTCGAGACCCTCAGCTCTTCCAGCACTGCCTTTGCTGTAGTGGCCTTGGATGGGGGGGCCTCAGTTTGGAGTTTCTCATGCTGTGGTTCCTCTGTGGGCAGGGACAGTTCTGCTGGCTCTTCTACAGCTCCTATTGAGAGGGGATGGTGATGGCTGTGGAAATGCTTGTGTCCCTCAAATGTCCATCCCCAACTCACTAACTCATCCATCCATCCATCCATCCATCCATCCATCCATCCATCCATCCATCCCTGTGTTCCTCCATTCCTCCACACTCCAGCCCATCCTTCAATCACCCCTTCCTCCATCTCTCTATCCCTCCATCCCTCCATATATCTATTATTCTTCATCCATACATCCAACAACCTTCCTCCCCTCCTTACCTGTCATGGTCTCAGTGGAGACATGGTCGATCTTCTTCCTGCCCCGCAGCCCATAGAGGTGGAAGCGGTATCGCTGGGAAGGGGACAGCCCCGGCACCGTCACGGAGCGGGACCCGCCATCGATGGGCAGGGCCTGGGGCTGTCCCTGGACATCTCGGTACTGCAGCGTGAAGGAATCAAAGGAGCCCTCAGGGACACTCCACTCTAGCTGCACAGAGTTGGGTGTGACACTGGAGACACTCAGCTCCCCCAGCACTGCTTGTGCTGGGTGTGCCTCAGATTCGGTGGACTCAGTTTTGGGCTTCTCCTGTTGGGGCTCCTCTGAGGGCAAGGATTCTTCGCTGGCTGCATTGGAGAGGAGATGGTAAAGGATAAGGACATCCATTTGTCCCGCCAAATATTCATCCCACCACACAGAAACCAATCCATCCATCCATCCATCCATCCATCCATCCATCCATCCATCCATCCATCCATTCATCCATCTGTCCATTTTTTCATTACACAGCCAACATACAACACAACCTCCTAGATAGTTCCACGTCAATCTCTGTCTCTTAGCAGTCTCTCACCCCTATTTCCCAGCTTCAGTGTTCCATTCATCCATCATTCTATCCATCCTTGATGCATAGAGGTGGAGGGAAGCATGGAAGGATAGATTGATGCTTGATAATTGATGGATGATGGTGATGGCATTACATGGTCAATGAAGATGATGGACGACAATGGGTAATCGATGGTTGCTGCTACTAATGGTGGATGATGGATGATGGAAGGTGCTGGTTAACAGGTTGGTGGAAGGTTTGATGCTTGATCAGATGGTGCTGAGTCAATGGCTGCTGACTTGTGGGTATGTGATGGGCATGGGATTCCTTGATGTCTCCACTTCCTTCCATCCCTTTGACCTTCAGCTTACCTGTGACAGTGTCAGTAGAGACACGGTCAGTCCTTTTGCCTCCACGCAGCCCATAGAGGTGGAAGCGGTACCGATGGGATGGGGACAAGCCTGGCACGGTCACCGAGCGAGACCTGCCATCGATGGGCAGGGCTTGAGGCTGGCCCTGAGCATTCCGGTACTGCAGCAAAAAGGAGTCGAAGGAGCCCCTGGGGACAGTCCACTGCAGGCCCACAGAGGTGGGCGTGACACCTGAGACCCACAGCTCTTCCAGCACTGCCTTTGCTGGAGTAGGCTCAGATGTGGAGGCCTCAGTTTGGGGTTCCTCATTCTCTTGTTCCTCTGTGGGTTGGGTCACTTCCTTTGGTTTTGCGGCGTCTCCTGTGGAGTGGTGATGGTAATGGATGCTTCTATCCAAATACCCATCCTAGCACTTACCAACCCACTCATTCATCCACACTTCCATGTTCTGGACCATCCATCCATCCATCCATCCATCCATCCATCCATCCATCCATCCATTCATCCATCCATCCATCCATCCATCCATCCATCCATCCATCCATCCATCCATCCATCTCTGTGTTCCTCCATTCCTCCACCACTCCATCCCATCCTTTAATCACCCCTTCCTCCATCTCTCCATCCCTCCATCTCTCCATATATCCATGATTCTTCATCCATACATCCAACCACCTTTCTTCCCAGCTTACCTGTCATGACCTCAGTGGAGACATGGTCGATCTTCTTCCTGCCCCGCAGCCCATAGAGGTGGAAACGGTACCGATGGGAAGGGGACAGCCCTGGCACCGTCACTGAGCGGGACCCGCCATCGATGGGCAGGGCCTGGGGCTGTCCCTGGGCATCCCGGTACTGGAGTGTGAAGGAGTCAAAGGAACCCTCAGGAACAGTCCACTGCAGCTGCACAGAGCTGGGTCTGACACTGGAGACACTCAGCTCCCCCAGCACTGCTCTTGCTGGGAGTGCTTCAGATTCAGGGGACTCAGTTTTGGGTTTCTCTTGTTGGGGCTCCTCTGAGGGCAAGGGTTCTTCGCTGGCTACAATGGAGGGGAGATGGTAAAGGGCAAGAACATCCATGTGTCCCTCCAAATATCCATCCAACCACACAGCAACCAATCCATCCATTCCACCATGTCTCCACCCAGCTATTCAACCATCCATCCATCCATCCATCCACCTGCCCATTCTTTTCATTACACACCCAACATACAGTACAACCCTCTAGACAGTTCCACATCCATCTCTGTCCCTTTTTAGCACATTTATACATGCCTTTGCATCTCTCGCCCCCATTTCCCACGGTCAATCTTCCATTCATCCATGATTCTATCTATCCTTGATGCACAGAGGTGGAGGGAAGCATGGAAGGATAGATTGATGCATGATAATTGATGGATAATGATGATGGCGATACATGGTCAATGAGGATGATGGACGACAAAGGGTAAGTGGTGGTTGCTGCTACTGATGGTGGATGATGGATGATGGAAGGTGCTGGTCAACAGGTTGGTGGAAGGTTTGATGCTTGATCAGATGGTGCTGAGTCAATGGCTGCTGACTTGTGGGTATGTGATGGGCATGGGATTCCTTGATGCCTCCATTTTGTGATCAGTCCACCCCTTTTACCTTCAGCCTTACCTGTGACAGTGTCAGTAGAGACACGGTCAGTCCTTTTGCCTCCACGCAGCCCATAGAGGTGGAAGCGGTACCGATGGGATGGGGACAAGCCTGGCACTGTCACCAAGCGAGACCTGCCATCAATGGGCAGGGCTTGAGGCTGGCCCTGGGCATCCCGGTACTGCAGCAAAAAGGAGTCGAAGGAGCCCCTGGGGACAGTCCACTGCAGCTCCACGGAGCTAGGGGTGACGCTCGAGACCCTCAGCTCTTCCAGTACTGCCTTTGCTGTAGTAGCCTCAGATGTGGGGGCCTCAGTTTGGGATTTCTCATGCTGTGGTTCCTCTGTGGGCAGGGACAGTTCTGCTGGCTCTTCTACAGCTCCTATTGAGACAGGATGGTGATGCCTGTGGAATTGCTTGTTGCTTCAAATGTCCATCCCACCTCTCACTAACGAATCCATCCATCCATCCATCTAACCATCCATTTTTCCTTTAATCTCCTGGACCATTAATTCCTGCACTTATTATCTCCCCATCCATGTAACCATGCACCTTTTCTGTCAACTTCTTCTTTAATCTCACATTCTGTTGAGTCATCAAATTATTCACCCTCTGATTTGACATGTCAAACCACCAACATTATGCCCCCAACAATCATGCATCATCCGTCATTCATCATCCATCCATCCATCCATCCATCCATCCATCCATCCATCCATCCATCCCGCTGACCTTCCATCTCACCTGTGATAATGTCAATAGAGACGCGGTCAGTCTTCTTCCTGCCTCGCAGCCCATAGAGGTGGAAGCGGTATCGCTGGGAAGGGGACAGGCCCGGCACCGCCACTGAGCGGGACCCACCATCGATGGGCAGGGCCTGGGGCTGGCCCTGGACATCCCGGTACTGCAGCATGAAGGAGTCAAAGGAGCCCTCAGGGACGCTCCACTGCAGCTGCACAGAGTTGGGTGTGACACTGGAGACTCTCAGCTCCCCCAGCACTGCCTGCAACACAGGGGCTGCCGATGGGGGGGTCTCAGTTTGAAGTTTCTCATGTTTTTGCTCCTCTGAGGGCAGGCGTATCTCATCTGGCTCTTCTGTGCCTGCAATGGATGATGGCATGGTGGCATGGTAATCCCTGTGTCCATCCAATCATCCATCCCACCACCCACCAATCAAAGCATACATCCTTCCATTTACACTTTTATCTACAGGACTATTTATTCCAGCACCCATCACCTACCCATCCATCTAATTACAGGTCATACAGTCAACATTTTCCTTCAGCTCCTTTAATCTCACCAAGCATTGGGCCATCCAACCACCCACCCACTGATCTGACATGTCAAACCACTGGCAAACTGCCCCAACAGCTATCATGCATTATCCATGTTCATCCATTCATTCATCCATCCATCCTGATTGGTTCAGTCAGTCCTTGAATACAATCCTATTTGAATACAATCCTACATCCCTATTCCCCTACACTCACCCCATCACTCATAGCAAAAACCAGCCATGGGCTCAGCCACATGTGCATCTGTGCAGCCATATGTCCATTCAGCATTCATCCATCCAATCCACCCAGGAGGCCCCTCTCTATTGATATATCATCCACCACCATCCATGCATTCCCCACCATCCCACTATCCTTCAACCTACCCAACCAACTAACTCACCCAGGAGCTACCATTCATTCAGTCATCAAACCATTCCTCATTTCTTCCTCTGTTCATTCATCAATCCATCCATCAATGCATCCATCTTTCACTGTAACCCCCCTGACCTTCCCTGCTTACCTGTCATGACCTCAGTGGAGACATGGTCGATCTTCTTCCTGCCCTGCAGCCCATAGAGGTGAAAGAGGTACCGCTGGGAAGGGGACAGCCCCGGCACTGTCACCGAGTCTGACCTCCCATCGATGGGCAGGGCCTGGGGCTGGCCCTGGGCATCCCGGTACTGCAGCAAGAAGGAGTCAAAGGAGCCCTCGGGAACACTCCACTGCAGCTGTACAGAGCTGGGGGTGACACTGGAGACCCTCAGCTCCCCCAGCTCTGCCCGCACAAGGGGGGCCTCAGATGCAGGGGACTCAGTTTGAGGTTTTTTATGTTGGGGCTTATCTGAGGGCAGAGGCAGCTCCTCTGGCTCTGCTGCAGCTGTGGTAGAGAGTGGAGAGTGACGGTTGTGGGAATGACAGTGTCCATCCAAACATCCACCCCACCACCCACCAACCAACCCATTCATTCACAGAGCATACCATACACCTTTTCCTTCAACTCCTTCTTTAATCTTACCTTGCACTGGGTCATCCAACCACCCAGCCACTGCTCTGATACATCAAACCACCAACAAAATGCCCCCAACAACAATCATGCATCATCCATCCATCCATCCATCCATCCATCCATCCATCCATCCATCCATCCATCCCTTGATCCCTCCATCTTTCCACCTACCCATCATCCTTCATCCACCACTCTACCCACCCTCTCTGACCATTCCCCTTACCTGTCACGGCCTCAGTGGAGACGTGGTCAGTCTTCTTCCTGCCCTGCAGCCCATAGAGGTGGAAGCGGTACCGGTGGGATGGGGACAGCCCGGGCACTGTCACTGAGTCTGACCTCCCATCTACAGGCAGGGCCTGGGGTTGGCCCTGAGCATCCCGGTACTGCACCATGAAGGAGTCAAAGGAGCCCTCAGGGACGCTCCACTGCAGCTGCGCAGAGCTGGGGGTGATGCTGGTGACCCTCAGCTCCCCAAGTACTGCCCGTGATGGGGAGGCTTGAGATCCAGGGACCTCAATTTGGGGTTTCTCATGCTGGGGCTCCTCTGAGAGCAAGGACTGCTCCTCGGGCTCTGCTGCAGCTGTGATGGAGAGGGGATGGTGATGGGTGTGTCCATCTGAACATCCATCCACGCTTTCATCTCCTGGATCATTCATTCTAGCTTTCATCATCAACTCATCCATTCAGGCACGGTTCCTTGCATGCACCTTTCCCTTCAACCAATTCTTTAACTTCTCCCTCATTTGGATTATCCAGCCACCTAAGCACTGATTTGATACATCAAACCTCCAGCAAATGTATGTATTTTGTATTGCCAACACCCATCATCCATTCACCATTGATCATCATCATCATCATCACCATCCATCATTGCCCATCACAGTCACCATCCCTCCATCCATCCATCCATCCATCCATCCATCCATCCATCCATCCCACCCACCCTACCATGCTGTTATGCATTCTCCACCCCCGATCTGGTGTACTTGGGATTGGGGGAAACTGGGGACAGTTTGGGTAGAAGGATGGGGGATGGTTGATGGGTGATGGATGATGATGGCAACAATGACGATGGGTGATGATGATGAAAGTGGGTGTTTGATAGCAGGTGAGGATGGGATGAGATGGGATATGTTGATCCCTCCATCCATCATCTATTAATCCATCCACCCTTACCTGTGATGACATCAATGGAAACACGGTTGATCCTCTTCTCACCCCTCAGTCCGTAGAGGTGGAAGCGGTACCGGTGAGATGGGGACAGCCCCGGCACCGTCACCGAGCGGGATCTGCCATCAATGGGCAGGGTCTGGGGCTGGCCCTGGGCATCCCGGTACTGCAGCACAAAGGAGTCAAAGGAGTCCTTGGGGACAGTCCACTGCAGCTGCATGGAGCTGGGGGTGATGCTGGTGACACTGAGGTCACCCAGGACTGGCCGGGATGGACGGAGCTCTTCTGGCTCAGCTTTGACTGCAATGGATTGGGAACCGTGTGGGCACAGGCATCTTTCTGTCCATTTACATGGTCATCTATGTCTCCAGCCCTCCCTCCATCTATCCCTCTCTTATCCCTCCACCTCTCCATCCATCCCCTCCTCCATTCATGTCTCCATTCATCAGTCTCTCCATGCCTCTAATGCATGTGCATCCCTCTAATGCATCCATCCATCCATCCATCCATCCATCCATCCATCCATCCATCCATCCATCCATCCAACCAACCCAGGTATCACAGAATCACAGAATCTTCTAAATTGGATGGGACCCACAAGGGTCAAGTCCAACACCTGAATTCATCCCATCCATCAGCCCCCACATCAGTACCTGTTTTCTCCACGTCCCTCCATGGCTCTGTCAGCTTCATCTCATCCATGTCCCCCCATTCCAGCACTATCTCCTGTTTTCCACCCTCTCCTGCCCCCAGAAAGTGTGTTACAGGATATCTCTGCCACCCCATCTCTCTCTTTCCCTCCCCAGGGTGCCCCTTCCCCTGATCCCTGTTATCCTCCTTCTCATGATGTCCCTTCCACCCATCCTCCCCATCCTCCCTGTTCCCCTTCCCCCATCCCCTCCATCCCACCCTTCCCTGTCCCATCCCATTCCCCACTCCCACCATCCCCTCAATCACCTCCCTGCATTCCCCTCACTGTGATGTTCCTTCCTCCCCATCCCCCCTGTTCCACTTTCCAGGATGTCCCTCCCCTTGTACCCCCGCATCCCTGAGGCATCCTTTCCCTCCCCCCCCGCTCCCCAGTATCCCCACCCCCTCCTGATTCAGCGCCACTGTGACATCCACCTGTGGGTCCCTGTCCTCTCCCAAGGGTTGGGTGCCGGCGCAGGATGTAGGCCAAGATGGCACGGGCCACCCCTGGCACTGTCTGGTTGCCACGGAGGGGGAAGTTGGTGGCCCGAAGGTGGCTCTCGAGACGCTGGAGCAGGGTTCCACTGTATGTGGACAGCCGGGCCACCAGGTCCTGCAGGGAGGGGATGCCTGGGGACAGTGAGGGCCATGGGGACACTGGAGACCATGGGGGTGGAGGGGACCCTGGAAACACTGGGGACTCTGGCAGCTCTGGGAACTCTGGAGACAATGGGGACTCTGGGGACACTGAGAAATCTGGTGACACTGATGACCCTGGGAATTCTGGTGATGCTGGTGGCTCTGGGGATTCTGGTGACACTGATGACCTTGAGGGTGCTGGGGATCCCAGGGACTCTCGAGCTACTGGAGATGCTGGAACCTTGGGGGGTGCTGGTGACCCCAAAGACCCAGGTGACCCCAAGGACAAGTCTGGTGATACAGGTGACACCGGTGACCCTGGTGACCCCAGTGACCCTGGGGATCCTGGGGACTCTGGAGGCCCTCGGGCTGATGGTGCCACTGCTGGGGACCCCAGGGAGCCCTGAGGCAATCCTGGGGACCCCTCATAGTGGGGCACAGATGGGATGAGCGCTGTGGAGCAAAGGGGACTCTTGTCACCAATCTGTCACAGAGAGTCCCTGGGGGACATCCCTGTCCCAATACCTGGGCCATCCCCACCCCGTCCCCATGTCCATCTTACCCCCTGTATCCGTGCCCATGCTACTCCTATCCTGGTCCCCTGGCATCCCTGTTGCCATCCTTGTCCCCACCCCCTTGGCCATGCCATTGCTGTTCCAAACCCCATCCTTGTGCCATCCCATCTCTGTTCAATGCCACACTGTCCCCATGCTGTCGCCACCCCTGTGCCATTCCTGACCACACATCTGGGCTGTCCCCTTAATGGTGACACTGCGCTATCACTGTCCCCATGCCTCTCATCCCTGTCCCCATGCCCATGTCAGCCTCAGCCCCAACCTTGTCCCCTTGCTATCCCTGCCCCCATGGTGATCCCATGTCATCACTGTCCCCATCCCTGTGCCATCCCCATTCCCACTGCCACCTGTATACCACCCTGTCCCTGTCCCCATGTCACCCACTGTCCCCACTCCTTTCCTTCCATCCCCACTCCCACTCCTGTCTCTGCTGTGTCCCTAACTCCATCTCTGTGCCCCCTGCCTTGTTTCCACGTGTCCCCCACCAGTGCACAGGTGCAGGACCGCAGGCCCTCTCCATCCTCATCCCCATGCCATTCCCACCCTCACCCCTGCTCCTGTTGCCCCACCCCCTTCCCTGCTCCCACGGTGTTCCCAGGCATTCCTGTGGTGTCCCCAAGTGTCCCCCACCTGTGCGCAGACGCAGGACCCCGGGTGCCCCCAGATGTGGACCCCGCCGGGCTTGGACCAGCAGCTCGAAGGGGTGGCCTGGAGACAGCCCTGTCACCGAGAAGGCAACAGCAGAGCTGGGCAGTTCATGCGTTGTCATGGCCACAGGGTCATCCTGGGGGTGGGGACAGTGTGGAGTGGGTGGAGGGGAAACCATGGGGACACCATGGGGAGACACTGGGGACACATTGAGGATACACTGGGGATACCTTAGGAACATGTTGGGAACTTCAGGGACACATAGGAGACATGCTGGGGACATAATTGAGGGCAGTGTGGCGACTCATTTGGGGGTGTGTTGGGGCATACATTGGGGACATCATGGGAACAGACCAGGAACATGGTGGAGACACAATAGGGAACACTGGGACACACTGGACACAGGCTGGGGACACCATGGGACATACTGGGGTCATGTTAGGGACATGCTGGGGGGGTGCACTGGGCACATGTTTGGGACACTAGCAGGGCTGATACATACTTGGAACACGTAGGGGATACCATTGAGGACACCCTGGGGACACATGGGGATGGTCTGGGGGCATACTGGGGTCCTCCCATTGTGGCCACATGGGTGGCACTGGGGTCTGGCCCCTTCCATGTGCCTGTTGCCCTCTGTGTCCCCTCCTGTCCCTGTCCCATCCCCATGCCCCCACCCCCATGTCTCCTGTGTCCCCACTCACCAGGGGGACGAGTGTCACCCGGTAGCCATCAGGAAGAACGAGGGGCTGGGGCCAGGTGATGCGCAGGGACGTTGGGGTGCGGGAGGCCAACCGTGGTGTTACCCAGGGCACCTCTGAGGGGACAGTGCAGGGACACCATGGGGACACCAGGGGACACACATGGGATGGGGGACACCTTGGGGACACCACAGGGACACCCTGGGTTGGAGCATCTAGGGGATGGACACATGCTGGGAACACTGTAGGACACGCTGGGGACACGCAGGGATGGGTGCACGCAGGGGTGGGGCACTGGGAGGCACTGAGGAGCACTAGGAGTGGCACATAGGGACACCTGGGGACACGGTGAGGTGGCATGAGAACCCCCCATGGATGGGGAGAGAAGTGGGCGTGTACTGGGAGCACTGGAGGGCACTGGGGAACAACTGGGGATGCACTGGTGTCACAGTACGATGGGAGGGGAGGAGAGGGGGCATTAAGAGCGCTGAGGTGGCGTCACTGGGAAGTCGCTGGAGGAACACTGGCGGGGCACCGGGAGCGCTGGGGAGCCGCCGATGTCGCATCAGGTTCCCCTCCCACCCAGGGCTACCCGCGGGGGTGTCGCAGCGGGGGCACTGAGGTGGGGAAGATGGGAGGTGGCTGAGCGGTACCGGGAGCACTGTGGGGGGCACTGGGACGCACCGATGTCGCAGCGGTCCCCGGGGTACCCCAGGGGTACCCGCGGGGATGCCTCAGTGGGAACACTGAGGGGGGCACTGAGGTGGGGAAGATGGGAGGTGGCTGAGCTGTACCGGGAGCACTGTGGGGGGCACTGGGACGCACCGATGTCGCAGCGGGCCCCGCCCAGGCCCGGCGGGCAGGCGGGGGTGGCGCAGTCGGGGCCGGCCCAGCCCGGGAAGCAGCGGCAGCGGCCGCGCTCGCACCGGCCCTGGTCGCTGCAGCCGCGCGGGCACGCGGGGGCCGGGGCCGGGGCCGCGCCCGAGGCGGCGGGGCAGGCGCAGCCGCCGCCGGCAGGGGGCGCACAGAGCTGCAGCGACTGGCCTGGGGGACACGGACACGGGGGTGACCCCCAGTGACCCCCCCAGTGACCCCCCCAGTGACACGCAGTGACCCCACAGTGACCCCGATGACTGCCAGTGACTCGCACTGGCCCCCTTT